GGGGCAGAGGGCTTAGAGACCGACCGGGAGGAGGCGGCCGGGGTTGCCCGCCTGCAAGAGCCGCCGCCCGAGCGTCCCCTGAGGGAAGCCCCGCATTCTCCTCCCAACTTGTTCCTTTTCGGTTCCGGCTGCCTTCGCCTTGCACGCCCGCCAAGCTCCCCTCGGTCCCCCTTTCTCTTCTCCTTCGGCTCAGCGGGCGCCGGGCAAAGCGCGCCAGCGGCAGGGGAGGCGGCGTCTCCGAACGGCAAACCACACCTTGGAAAACTTCGCCAGAGAGGGAGAGAGAGAGAGAAACTGGCAGCGCCGAGCCTTTCCCGGCCGCAAAACGCCGGAGGGAAACAGGGCTGTCCTCCCTTCCCTTCCTCCTGCACGAATCCCGGGCTGCCTCGAGTCTGGCTAGAACGAGCGAGGGTCTCTCTCTGTCTCTTTACCCGCCAGCGCCTTCTTGGTTTCGCTCGCAGGAACCCGCTGCCCTTCTTCCAGCTTGCCCCGACGCTGGGATGTCCCCGTGTTTCCCCCACCACCACCGCACACCCACAGACACACACGCGCACGCAACACTCCCCCCCCCGTCCCCGCGCTCCCTCTGGCTTCTCTCTTTCGCTCTGCAAACTGCTGGAGCAGCTGTTCCCGTTACGGGCCCGCCAGCTGCGGTGCCCCATTCCCGCCACTAGGCTGCCGAAGCAAAGCGGGCGGAGAGCTTTACAGGTGGGAGGAGGAGGAGGAGGAGGAAGGAGCCGAGCCGGGAAGGGAGCCCTTTGGAGGAGCTGAAGGGGCTCCTCCGGCCACGTTTTCGCCTCAGAGCCGCTGGAGCGACTGGAAACACAAGCAAACCTCTCCGGCGCCTTGCCTTTGCACCGACGACGACGCTTCCTGCGGGGGGTGAAGGGGCCTCTCATGAGGGAAAAGTTCATGTCACCAGAAAATACGCGCGTCTTCAGGGTGTCACTGGAGTCTTGGTTGGTTGTGGCTTTCTCTCTGCCTCGCACTACTCCCCGTCTACTCACTGCGACGGGGTTCCTTCCCCTCTTCTCTTGTTTTGTTGCCCCCTTTCTTCATTCATGGCGCGGTGGTTTGTTTTGGTCTGCTGGAAGTTTGCTTACAGGGTTCTTTCACCTTCCAAATCCCCCGAGGAGCCTTGTAGCGCCCTGAAAAGTCTTGTCTGATACAATCTTATTGAGACATTTGTGTTTGCCTGCAGTAGCCCAATTCCACCTCCTGAAGCATGTTCAAGTCTACCCCCCAAACTTAGGCCACAGTACATTTGGTAGTCTGAAGCATGCCAGGGGACTCAACAGCATGTTGAGGCACTTTCTAAATGAACGCTCTTGTCTTGTCTTTACTATTGTAATTGTAGTTACAATGTACCCTTTAAAATAGCAGAATGTTCTCTCGGGATGGACACATTGCTAAAACTGCTCTAATTCTGGAGACTGACCCCATCTCACCCACTTCTGTACCTCTTTAGCGGACATGGACCCTGTTCCCTTGAAAAGGCCCCAGAGCCTGCCTTTGACTGCAGGGCATCAATACCAGATTCTGAATTGTTAGGTGGTAAGCTGGCTGGATAGCTCAGTGGTTTAGATATCTGTACAGCCGGTGGGTAGGAGTTCAATTCCCCACTGTGCCTCCTGGGAGAAGAGCCATCCTGGGTGGCCTTGGGCCAGCTGCACAGTCCCAGGGCACCCCTGGAAGCAGGTGTGGGGAAAAAGAAAACCTAATACTGTATTCTGCCACTTTACCATGGCTGGCTCCTGTTTTCTTTTCCTGTTCTGTAGCTATCTAGGTTTCATCTGCCCAAAAGACGCGTGACAAATGGTTAAAAAAGGAAAACACACTCATGCCTACTGTAGTCTTGCACAGAGTAGCACATGATATAAAGCATCAAGATTGTTATCAATGTAATGAGGCTGCTGCACAGGCGTGTAGATTGCTTAATTAATTTGAGCATACATAGTAAATGAAAATACAGCTGAATTTTTTTTAAAACTACAACTCCCATATGCTGACTGGGAACATTCTGGGACTTATAGTTTTAGGAGTATCCTTCAGTAACTTTGCTTCTTCTTAGTTGGTAAATGTCAGTGTTTATGCAAATAAAATTGATAGTAGAAGAGAGGGGAGTGAAAGTTGAACTTATTGGGCTACTCACAGCTCCTTGTGAATGATGGTAGGAAAATATAAATAAGTAGAGCACGTGCATGCACACACTTTTAAAAAAAAATTAAGATCTACTGTTTTCTACTGCGTGTGTGTGCTTGCCGGGTTCCTATTGCTTTCCTATTCCCATGTAGTACACACAGACACTAAGTCTGAAATTATTGTGTATAGATCATGCAGCAGATCATGCCGTGTGTGTATAGTAGATCTGGCATTCTGTCTTCCATATTCAAGAAAGATAGCAGGACTGAAGTCTTCCCCACCACTGGTGGCCTCTGGTCTGACAATAAAGAAACACCTTATCTCACAGTGGCAAAGGAACACCCCCCCCCCCACATCCCATCTGCTCAGACCAGGTCATTTGGGTAAAGATGGGAGCCCAGCCCTTCTCCCATCTTTGTGGGCTAGAAAGCTGGCAAGTCTGTCAAATGCCTTTTCTATAAGACTACATTTCTGGAGCATCCTCATAGAAAATAGTTCAGGACATATTTCTAATTCTCAGCCTAAGACTTTTTTGTCATAGAAAAGCCTGCACTCTATCACCAAGTTGCTCCCTTCCCTTCAAAATGTCTTCCTATGCCTACACTTCTGTTATTTAGGCACTGCATTTTTGTGGTTTGTGATTTTGTTTTAAATAGTATTAGGACTCCTTTATTTGCTGCTGTGTATTTTGACTTTTTATTTATAATTGTTTGCTCTTATTGACTTGATTTTGTCTTGCTTCAAAATGACTGAGCATGCACAATAAAAAGGGTAAAATACTGTAAATAAGTTAAAGTACTAAATATCTGGTTTGTATTGGTTAATTCATGATATTTGATTTCTCTATACTTTGGGCTTACAGAGTAACAAATTCACTCTTATGATATTACTGTTATTGCTGTCTTACTATTATTACTATATTTGATCACTTTTAATTGCCACAGGATTGTTTGTTGGTTTTGTTCCAAAAGCTTAATAAAGATATCCCTCTGGAAATCTGCACTTTGAATCTGTACGCTAACATTGCTTAAAAGTTTCACTCAGATCCTAAATATGTTGGCTCGGGTAGACCCACTGGACCAACATACTGTATATCTAAATTTCATTGACTCAGTGGATCTACTTTACGTTCACACTGGATTTAGACCATGGACTCATGGATTTTAGTGGAACATTTACAAATGTATAGTTAGGGCTGCAAGCAAACAATCCTAACACAAAAGTTTGTTAAAATGAAGTATTACATCCTTAAATTCTTTAAAATCCAGTCTCTACACAACAACATAAACCAGTCCCAAGAGACCACACTGGTAAAACTCCCAAAGACAGAGATTTGCCTTGGGAAAAAATATTCTCAAGCTTGCATGCCATCCATGACTAATACTCAGTCACCATCATATGGCATGTTTGCTGTTCTTTTGACAAACATAATGATCTACACTGAGTATTCGCTGGACTTGTGTTTAGTCTGTCTAATGCTGATTTTAGCCCAGCAAAAACATCATGAGTTTAAATGACTGGCAGTAACTATTACATAATTCCTTTCAAGAGAATTTAACAATAGCAAATCTAGCATCAAAAGCACAGTGTACATATATGGATAAGCAAGCCTTTGTTCAAGTTACTTTTGCCGTGTAAACCACACAATGTGAGTTACATAATGAACAAGGAAATTGGCAAACAATTGTTTTCTATCTTTTACTTTTCCAGCCTGCTCTTCAGAGAAGACGGAGGCCTAGAATCTTCCACCATGCAAAATAACTCAATATAATTATGATGCAAGGAAATACAGTATATGTATGGTTTACTTTCCCCTTTCACAACTGTTGTGCTTTTTTAAACTCCTTAACTAAATGGTTGTTCTGCGTTATGCTTTGTGTCTTGCTTTCTGTGTATTCCCAGATGCCTGGGTATTTACACCCTGATCACATGTTATCTTTTTGACACACCCAAATAAGCTGTCCCATTTCCCAGGCCCTGAGAAAACAAAAACAGCTGGTGAACCAGGTAAATTTCCTTTGGTGTGGCCTTTGTAAATCCACATAAGTAAAACATCCTGGAAGTAATGGAAGAAAACAATGGGAATGACTACTGAGTGTATTGCGGCTATTTCCTGAGGATTAGTCCCGTGAATCTGCTGCAGCTAAAAGAATAAAGCCTTGTGACACCTTAAAGACTAATATCATGGCATTGTTTTTAATGCAGTACAGTTCACGTCATCTGTAGTCCATGAAAGCTAATGGCATAATAAATGTGTTTAGTCTTTAACGTGAAACAAACCTTTGTTCTGTTGGCTGCTTTGGGTTAAAATATTAAGCTGGTTCGATAGCCCCATGAGTTAAGTATCTGGCTGCAAAGCCAGAGGTTTGGGAGTTCAGTTCCCCAGTATATATTCCAAAAGAACCAGCTTGTGTGGCCTTGGGCAAGCTGCCTGGTCCCAGGGTACTTCTAAAAGAAGGGAATAGTAAACCATTTCAGAGTACTCTCTGCTTAGGAAACCCTGGGAAGGGTTGCTGTAAGAACTGACTGGAGGGCACGTAATTATTATTAAATACAAAGGAGGGGTGAGTGGGAAATTTCCAGTATTGTGAATGAACCTGACCTGTTCCATTCCGCTATTTAAAACAAAAAAAAAAAATACACACCTAATATAGGTGCCAAAATCCTATGGCAAAGTACCACATGCATAGGAGAGATTGCATGAGGAGGTTTCAAAATTTCATGCCACCTCTTGTGCGCCCAGGCACATGATCAAGTCAGCAGCTGAGGTGTGTCCAGGGTGAGACAGCCCACTTAATTGAGCACTCCAGTTACATGACTTGTAGTTTGCAGTATGCAAACCCAAGAGGATTCTGGCCATTGGCTTTATTCCTCTGTCACATTATAATGGCACGCCGCCCATATTCTCGTCTTGGAAGAAAGTCAAAATATGAATAGGATAGAACTGTCTCCAAAAGAGTGTCACTATCAACAATAAAAAGTGAAATCTCTTTATGTACACAAAATACTGGTTTTTTTCCCCTTCAGACTCTATGTACCAAAGTCTTCCAGATTGCAAATGCAGAGGATTTATGTAATTAAACATTAAAGCTCTTGTATGTTGTTTTTCCAGTTTCAGTAATGGGAGAAAACTTCATACTCAGTTTCAAAGAGCTGCTGTTTGTTTTAAACAAAATCAAACTGCCAACAGTATTTGTTTCAAGCTATTATTTCTGAGACCTCCTTGTAATCAGATAGTTCAGTGCCTGAAGTCAAATAAGCATGCCCTGTTCTTTAATGCTAAATTTGTGTCTGCCTTACTTTATAACAATGCAGTCTTGACCCAAAAATGCACTGGCTGTATTGGGTTCTGAGTGGGCAGGAAGTGACTGCTCCCAGGGACCTGCTAGCAGAAGGATATGCAGGCAGAGCTGCTGTACTGGCTGAAATCTGCCGGCAGAACAGCAAAAATGGATGCATAAGGGGCATACAAGGGAGGAGTTGAGTAACATCAAGCCCAAACCTTTTTTCAATTTATGG